GACATCTGAGATTGTCTCTTCATCCACTTTCAGTTGGGTATTGGCTTAAAGATTGTGAGCCAAATATTTTCATCTTGGAAGACTGATAAATGACGTAGCTATTCAATAAATACCTGCAATTGTAAGAGAAGTGAAAATGAGAGCTAATGCACTATCCATAGATGACAAGAGGTTTCATTAAGCCAGGGCCTTCAACTTGCCTCACCTGTTGCTAAGGTACACTCCAGATGGCAAATAGGTGAAAGTGCCTTCAGTTCATATCCTGGCTTTTTTGGCATCTTTTAACTCACCATGGGTTCTTGCTATGGTATCTCTGTCTGTGTATCCCTGCTAGGTTTACACTATATCTTCTGCTTTGTAACCAGAAACCAATTTACTCACAAGACATATTTTCAACGTTTTGAAAAACTGCAAAATCACAATGCTACTGGAACAGACTTAGTTACCGGTACGGCTCTCTCCATTAGATACTTGCCACTAAGTAAAGGTCTGTTGAGTGTATAAAGAGGTGGTAGATCTTCTATTTCTGCTATCCTCTGGTATACGGCTCTGGATAGATGATCCCCATGATATAAACTCCCCAAGATGATGCTAGAGAAGTAAATTGGCTCCACAAAGAGGCTAAGTAAGGCTCCTTGAATACCCAATACGTTCCACCTAAGAGGGAGGGAAAAACAAAACAAAACAAAACAAAACAAAAAACTTTCTTTTTAATGGAACAAGTAACATCTGCTAGACATAACAGCAGTCAATCACAATGGACCAGACTTTCACAGAATCACAGAATCACAGAGTGGCTTGGGTTGAAAGGGACCCCAAGGGCTATCTAGTTCCCTCTGCCACAGGCACAGCCGCAAACCTCCAGATCTGCTACTAGAACAAACTGCCCAGGGCCCCATCCAACCTGGCCTTGAACCACCTCCAGGGATGAAGCATCCACAGCCTCTCTGGGCAGCTGTTCCAGCACCTCACCACACTCTCTGCACAGAACTTCCCTCCGACATCCAATTTAAACTTTCCCTCTTTGTGCTTAGAACCATTCCCCCTTGTCTTATTACTGTCTACCCTTGTAAAAAGTTGACTTGACTCCTTTTTAAATACTGGAAGACCGCAAGCAGGTCTGCCCACAGCCTTCTCTTCTCCAGGCTGAACAAGCCCAGCTCCCTGTCTGCATAGGGGAGGTGCTCCAGCTTTCTAACCATCTTTGTGGCCTTCCTCTGTACCCTCTTTAACAGCTCCACATCTCCTGTACTGAGGGCCCCAGACCTGGATGCAGTTCTCCAGATGTGGCCTCATGAGGGCAGAGTAGAGAGGGACAATCAACCTCCCTGTCCCTGCTGCCCCCCACCCCCTCTGATGGAGCTCAGGATACCATCGGCCCTCTGAGTTGCAAAAGCACACTCATGGCTCATGTTCAGTTTTTCATCCACTAGGACCATTGGGTCCTTCTCCACAGGGCTTTCAACCCTTCCTCTCTTGAACAGAACATGGCTATGGTAACACAGCTATGACACCTGACAGAATTGCAGAGATCAGCTCAGCAAAATCCTCAGCAAGGCAACCAAGGTCTACTGACAGCATCCTCATCAGGAACAAATTCCATTACCATATTTCCCTGCTAACGTGTCTGGTGATTCATTTTGCAGCTGCAGCTTAATCCAAGAGATGGATAGGATCATTCAATCAGAGAAAGCCAAACTGTAACATCAACATTATGAAAAACTTCCCCAAAAGAGTGACTGGGCACTGGAACAGGCTGTCCAGGGAGGTGGAGTCACCATCCCTGGAAATGTCTAGATGTGGTACCTGGGGACACGGTTTAGTGGGCTATATTGGTGGCAGGTGGACAGTTGGACTAGATGAGCTTAGAGATCTTTTCCAACCTCAATGATCCTGTGATTCTATGATCCTCAGTCAAACAGTAGCTGGTGCCTCCAAGATACTTGACAGAGGACAAACCATTCATCCCACAGTGCAAGGATTGTGTCTGCAAGACCTCAGTACCTCATCACTGTAAGGGAAAGTTCACTCTTTAAATCCTAACCAAACTGTCCGCATCCTGCTGCCAAAGAGGATATTTGTACTTGGCTGCAATACTCATGGGCAGGATGAAAGCAGTCTCCATGCACATATACTCTTGGCCTACTTCAGCTGTTCCACAGATTCCAATAAAAAATCCCTGTCTGCATAACTGTGATCTACACTGGACCAAGTCTAGCATACATAGGAGCAAAATACTGAAGAATTTCTGTGTCTATATTAATCTGATCAGGTTTTAGCTCCCAATCTGTACGTGACTATCGTATAGAACGCTTTAAAACCTCAGTGTCCTGTAGAGTATTTCCACTGTACTCTCTTTTGAAGTATACTTGCAAACAATTTGGCACTATTAAAATTGTTTAACTGAGTACAACTGCAACACGCAGACAACTGGATTCACAAGCAGAAAGCAAGTTTTTTTTTTGTGTTTAATAAAAAATAAAAATAAAAATAAAAAACAGCATAACGGAAGTTCTTGTGCTCATATAGACTGCCTGTCCTTACCAAAATGTACATCCTAAACTGTCTTACAAAGTGTCCCTAAGAAAAGAGGACTATGTTAAAGTGTCCCTAAGAAAAGAGGACTATGTTAAGAGGACTATTAGAGGACCTTGTACCTCATCCTTGGAGGGCATGGCTACACATCATCATCAGTTCAGCTAGTAACTGTATAGTACAACTGTTTCATTACTTTGAAAAATAGAACTACACATTTTGGCTTGCAAAATGTTGAAAAAAGAGTAGAACAAAAATTGTACCCCAATGAAACAATTTATTCACATATCTTTACTAAGGATGAAAACGAAAAAAGTGTGCATTAGCTTACTCACCTGTCATTAAAAGTTTGCCCTGATGTATGAATAAAAATACTGTACTAACTAAAAATGAAGTATATATGTTACATTGAATAAAGACCTATTTTTTTTGATGGTGAAAATGCATAAAACAGTCAAGCATAACATTAAATGCATCAAGAGAAAACTATTGCTTTCTAGACACCCTTCTCTGGATCCTGCCATGACTAGAGGAACAGAGGAACTTCAAGTGCCAAATCAACTGCAATAGTGTCTTGATATTGGCAGCGTTATCTACAAGAAGCATAGAGAAGCATGTGGACTACTAACACAGGCAGATAATATTATGGAAGAAACATCTGGAAAAAATTCAAGAGTAAGTATTGCAAATTAGGTTCCTACAGTTCTATCTGAAGTTTACAGACATACAGTTTAAGCCCCTTTTGGTTAGGCATATCAGGTTTTATTTTTCTTGAACAGTACTTGAATGATGGATAGACATTTTTTAAAGGCCAGAGTATACCTCTGGCTCCCTAAACCAAACTTTTGCCAGATCCTTTGCCTGGCTTCCATGTTCAATATTTCTAGAGCATGTGTTTTGTTGCTTCCTTCCAGCTCCCACACCCAGCCATCTGTGGCTGGCACAGAAAATGACAGCTGAAGTTTGAATCTTTCAAAATCTAAAACAAGAGGAGGAGTTTGGATACTTAGACAGCTTCTGCAAGGTGAACTACACAAACCTGTACTACAGTTGCTATCCTGTAGTAACTGCCCATGCCTCTGGTTTTGCTGGAATGAGCTTTTTCACCACTACCACTTTGGTGTATGCCTACTGGATTCAGAGCAATTGGCTTGCTGCAAGTACAAGGTTTGCAGAAAACACTCAAATGTGCAAAGCCTTAGGCTCTTAAAATCTATTGGCTGGGGTTGGATGACGGTTGAGTTTACAGCATTTGCTTTAAATTTCAATTGTTTCAATGAAATAATATGCAATTATCTAGAGAAATACATCATACTTTTAGAAACTGGCAGTGTCTCAGATAAACGCAAAACTTAAAACAAATTTTATACATTACAACAGTGGCAGAAAGGAAGGATTACACAGAGACTTTCTTGTTCCTATTTAGGCTGTACCTCTTTCTGGCTAACAAGAATTTCTCACTCCCATTAGTACATACACTAAAACCTCCTCTACAGACAGATACATCCTGAGAATAAGCCATACCAATACGATGCATCCATTTTCAAAAAGCCACAGGCCTACTGAAACCTGATATAGTAAAACTGACTCATCCCAGTTCACAAGCAGGACTTGTCAGAACATTTGTCAACTATCAAAAGCCACCAATTTAGTACTACAATTTACTGAAACCACAATTTCTTTTGAAGTGAATGGACTGTATAGGTTCACTCTAAATCATGAAGTGCAGAGTACAGAGTGCAAGATTCATTACAAAAAATGTTGATAAATTCAGCTTTTCTACCAAGCAGTGAAACACCTAAAAATACAATTTTTTTCTTCACATTAGTATATAAGGAGCATGAGAAAAAGGTTGAGTAACTGAAGCTGTGTAAATCAAGTTTGCAAACTCAAATCTTCCTGTGCTCACACTGAATTTCTAATACAGAAAGGAACCTTTCCACTGCAGTTCCACACTGCACCAGACTGCATGCAGATCCTGGCCATGGAACAGTGCTCAGATACAGCAGTTTGATGGCTGGAGAAAGGGGTAACGGAAGAAAATTCTCCACCACTAATTCAGTAATTTAAATATCTTCTGCAGCAGCCATGGGCAAAAATACAAAACTTCCACATAAAATGACTTAATCCTTGGTCCAAATCTGATTGGGCAGACCAGAGTGAACCAGACCCAGGCAATAACTTTTCTCAACATCAAAATAGGAGAACAGCACCACATTAGCAATACAAAAAAAAAAGCGCAAAAAAGCACAACATTAAGCAGAAAATGGCTGCTGCGTTATGTCAGTGGAAATACCGACATGTCTACAGGCTCATATATAAGAGTTTCATGGAAGACAGCCTTAGCAAGCAAAGAGACATCCTCCTGTGTAAAACTTTTTGCAGGAAGATTTGTCTGTCTGAGCATAAAAGATATGCCTTCTGCGGCATACTTTGATGATATTCACTCATATGATGTTCTGAATGTTCTGATTTTAAGTTACCACAAGAATCAAGAGATCTTCTTTCACAAGCTTTATAAAATTTCAAGCTACATGGACATTCTAAATACCAGTTTTTATGCTGATACAAAGCACAAGCCACAAGACTTAGTTCCAGTCTGTCAAATAGAGCTGTCTCTTTTGAGTCGAGTGTCTCAACATCACTACAGTTAATGGTGATTTGTTCAGTATCTAAGAAAGGCCATTTTTATTTGCCTGAACAGCTCTCCATCAATGAGATGGCTGGCAAATGCAAGAGAAGCTAGGGCACCCTGTGCAGACAGGGATACCCACAGTCAAGTAGCACATGATATCCCTTCACCTTTCCTCTGCAGTTCCAGAAATGATGCACAACACAAGGGAAGGCAACCTGACGTGGTGCCAGTAAGCTCAAAGGATTGTTTACTTGTACTAAACTGACTCTCTGCAATTCTGAGCAGCCTTCTGTGACACAGAAGTTCCTTCAGACGGTCACTGAGTAATTTATGGCTATACCAGAGGTTCACTAAGATGTTGTAGAACCACAACTATGTTTGATGGGGCACCTCATTTTCTAAAGTTCTTCTAGTAATTATAAAAAAAAAAAAAAAATTAAGCGTAAAAAGGTAAATAAAAGCAACATGTAAAAACCACAGCTCTCTTTATTCCTCAGGTTGGAAAATTGATCCAAGAACAAAAACTTTCCGAAGACAACAGTTCTGCTGAGGAGTTTGACTTAATTGTTGATAGCCTTGAATTTATTTACAAGTATCATTTCCACAGAAACTACACTACAACAGATACAAAGAGCACAACAACACTACTTGATAGAGCACATTCTCAGCTACAAAACACTATTTTTCAACATAATCACTATCATTAGCTATGCATTTGCACCAGCCATGAACAATAGTCTGCATGCCATGTGTGTCAGAACCTGCACCAGAAGTGGCCTGCTGTTGCTACTGCTGAAATGCACTACCCACCACCTCACTGTGCTCACATCTGCTGTTTGTCTTCATAAACGTTCAGCAAGCATTAATGAATGTCAGTGGGTGCAATTTTTTCCTCGAGGAGGAATTTAATAGCACACCTTTGTTTCACATACACTTCCATGTCAGATGCCCCTCTGCTGCCATCTGTCACACAGCATCAAAATGTAAAGAATATTGGTGGGAAGGTTCAACATCTACTGCCATATCACCACCATCTGCCTCTGACACCGTGGGCCAACATCATAAAATAGGAAGCATTACTTTTGGAGCAGTCCTTGTACATTCACCACTTACATGCTGTTCCCTGCAGATGGAACAAGCAGAGCTGATTTCATTCACCTAACCCCTCTCTCCTCTCTATCCTTTCTCTCATGTGTAAACCTGATTTCTCTTTGCTTTCTGAAGAGATTAACTCGGTCTCTATGATCAGTCTTCCCTTCTTAAGCCACGGAAAGGCAGCAACATCTTCATGTACAGCAGTCAGTATTTTTCTTCAGGTGGCGTAGTCACCACAATTTACATCAATAAACACAAGTCCACAGTCTTTGACAGCAGCCCTTCTCAAAAGCATCTTTCTACTCATCCCAAGGTCAGATTTTCAACTACAGACAATAAGATTTAACTTCACTTGCAGCTGAGCATCCAGGCTGGCCACAGACAGCTCTGATTTGTCCCAGTGTTTCTGGTGTTGTTTGGATCTGTGGCATGCTACTAAGCCCATGTCACTGGTTTGCATGGTTACATGATGATACACACTGGGTGGTGGTTTCCTACCTCTTTCTCTGAGGTTTTTAATCTAGGTATTACACAGCAATCACATATCAAAAGCAAGGCATTCAAATCAGCCACGTGGACTAAGACCTGCTCAGAAGAAATGTTCTTCCTAGTGCTGTTCAGAAAGCACACCAGCTCTGCCATGGAGCTTTCCATTTAGAATAACTCAGAAACTCAAAAAAGGCTACAAAGGCAGCTGCTGAACATACAGCCTTTAGTGAGCACACAGAGAATTTTCTAGTTGTTTTTGTACCACCTCATCAGTCCCCACCTAGGTGGTGGGGTCAAGAAGGAGAAGCCATCAAGGGAATAAACAGAAAGACAGAGTTACAAACTTCCATTTGGATTTTACATTGTAAATAGCAGAAATCAAAGTCAGTACGTAGGTATGTGATGTTCTTGCACAGCAAAGAAGTAATATTTTTCCCTCTTCCATGGTAGAAGAGCACCAATGACTTCCCCTTTACACAACTGAACCAGTTCTCAATTAAACCACTTCTTAAGTGATCCCAGAGCCTTCCTAGCAAGGAAATAGGGTAAAAAAAGCAATTTAAGTCTTCTTATCAAGACAGCAATTTGAATGTTTGGTGAGAAATTAAATAACTGTTTATTTGAAGCCAAAAAGCTTCAAAAGAATGTAGGTGAAAAACATCAAAAAGGACAAAAATATGCATAATGAAGTAGCATGGAACAAGGTGGGGATCTTTTTTTAAAACAAATGCATGCATATAATGCCACCAAACAGGTATTCTTGTCATAGAATAAAGTTGCTCTGAAATGTCACCAAGACACTGGGATAATCCCGTTCAAATGCTCCTGAGCCAGATGACAGTACATTGTTTTACCTACACAGGACTGTTGCTGTTTTCCACAGCTTTTTACATGGTGAAATCATTACGGGTTAGAGTTTAGCACCCCTCATTTCCTTTCTGCCTAAAGCACAGCTATCAATCTCTTGACTTTTTCTCTTTTTTCTGCCTTTCCCAAAACAAGCAGAAAGTGATTTCCAAGGAGGTGACTTAGGGAGAGAAAGGGATGCTGAGTATCTGCCACCAGCTAAGGAAGAATGAGGTGAGCTGAGCTAGCTGGAGCAAAGCAGCAGATTCAAGAGCTGTTTCACACGCGCTACCTCAGCCCGTGGCACAACGCAAGCCCTGGCTTGAGATGGCTAAGCCTGCCAACGTACAGTCAGCCCAGGATGCTCATCCACTCTTGCATTAGATCTCACCCATTACTAATGTTGGGCTTGGCCCATCATTGTAATGAGCAGCAGTCACTGGAGAAATTCTACTTTTTAGCACTTCTTTGCAGGATAAAGAAGCTTAGCAAAAATTTTGCAAGTTTCTCGGTTCTTCCTACCCTTCCTACCCTTCTAGCAAGGTGCTAGAAAGCACACGTTAACAAAGCACTCGGAGGCTGAAAATAATAGCTTGGCTTATGCATATAATCCACACAGAGAGGGCTGTTCATACAGAAAGAGTCTTCCTGCTCTGGATTGCCCATGTAATCCTCCACACAGTACTTAACCACGTGTTTTCCAGGCCGGCACTGTGAACCTTTGGGAAACATCAGTGGAAGCACACGGGGCGAGGGCGTTCTGGAGTACTGACTGCTGGAAACTACAAAGCAATGCATTCTTTCAAATTTAAATGGACAAAACATGGTCATAAGTGTCAGGGAAATGTAAAAAAGAAAAAAGTAAAGAAAAAAAAGAATATGAAAATTTGGGCCTCCTTACCCGTCATACAGTCTTTGTTCTGTGTCAAAGGGTTCTATTTGCTTCCTTCACTGGCACAAACAAAATTATTCCCATTAGCCCCAAGGACAGTTGACAGCTAGCTACGCAAGCGAGAGATGGATTCTGTTCTGCATCACACAAAATCAACAAAATAGTCAAATGTGTTCTAGCTCAATAACTGCCTTCATTTTTTATTTTCACTAACAGCAATGATGATGCGATAATAGAAGTCAATGAATGCAGCTTGAATACCACATTGGATGGTTAGAGGAAGCCATTGATATGAAGCTGGGAAACCAGTGTTGCGAATTATTGAAAATATTATTAAAAAAATTTCAATGTCACTTTTGCAGAACTATTTCTCAACAACCTACTGCCCTAGCTTGTGAAAGGCCTTAATCATTAATGTTGGAGGGATTCATACTAAAGTAAAATGTCTTTCTTCAGTGGGGATGATTACTTGAGACAAGACTAGAGGAGAAAAGCAATTACTTAAAATTCATCCTGTACTTTTTTTATTTGGTGTACACAGTTCATAATTAGTTCAAATATATCTTTCAATGTTAAAATACACTTAATAAATTTTGCATCAGACTTTGACTAGACAGAACAGCACAGCTATTTTACTTACAAAACAACTGAAATATATTCAGCCAAAAAAACTTGGTATTTCCTATCTATTTCACAAAAAAAAAAAAAAAAAAAAAAGAGTCTGCACTGCACAAACAGACTCATTTTTAAAAAATTACAATTTTCCAGCAGCTCTCCTAGATTTCTGGTACTTTTTTTAAGGATACTACTTCTCAATTTGGTGGGCTATCATCTGTCCATTCCCAATTTAAAAAAAATCTTTCAGTCTCTCAATATTTCACTCTCAAAAATGACAAGAAAGAAGGTACTGGATAAAATATAAATAAAAGGACTCGTACTGGAAAAAAAATATTTAATTACAGTAAAAATACTGAAACTAAAATTTAAATAATTATGAAGTTAGAAATTAATAGTGCCCGTCAATTAACTGGACACATACATACATACTTATACATAAGCATATATATATACTATATATATAAAGTATACTTTGTTTTTTTATTTATACTTTATATATATTTTTACTTTTATAAATACTCTCTCTATTACAATAGTAACAATCTAAATCTGTCCACGGAATACATATGTCCCGTTGGTACACAAGGCTGTACACCACCAGAAGATTTAATTCAAATTTAACTAAAGTAATATATTTATCACACCCTTTTGCTAAGGCTATGTTGGGAACAGGAGGGAAAAGGAATTCCTCTGATATTTTCCTTTGATAGAAATACAAAACAAAGCTGTCATGACTTGAAGTACCTGAAATTATACATAATGTTTTCATCTCATTTCTGAAGCTAGCAGGAGGTCTGACACCAACTGCTGGTGAAGAATCAGAGCTTTATCACTGGAATTGCAGACATGCTACAGCTAAGCAATGAAAGCAATCAACAGCCTGAGCATTCATTATAGCTGCCATGCATCCCTCCTGTCTTACTCAGCAATAAAAGGCAACAGTAGAAAAAACAGTTCTTTAGTCTCTCACCTTGCTATCTTGTCACTGCATGACATAGTAAGTAGCCTTTCTCCTTGCAACACTCCATCCCATGTCTGGATGGTGGTAGTAGAGCGCACAGGGATCGTCCCTTCCCCAGATTCTATTTTTGTTCGTAGCTGTCCTCTTGCTTTGCGGTTTGGGTGTCTGTCCCCTTGATCTAAATGACAAAAGTTACTTACAATCAACCAAGAAACATTCTCAATTTTACATAGAGCATTAAATGAGCATTAAATGAGTCTATTAAAGCCTGCATAACAATTTCTATCATTCCTTACAGTTTAGTTATAGCAAGACATGCAAAATGTCTTCTAAAACTGCAATAAAACCAAGCTTTGCATTAGGAAACACGGTCAGCAGGCACTTCTAAAATAGTGTTTTGGGCATTTTAATATTAGAATGAAGTCAATTAAGAGATCAGGACTGAGAACAACCTTTAAAAATAGAAACACTGAGATGGCTATATTAGTTTAGTAAGAATGCTTGCTGAATCACTGGCTTATCCTTGCTGGCAATCAGCTTCTTGAAGACCACAGAATCACAGAATCACAGAATGGCCTAGATTGAAAAGGAGCACAGCGCTCATCAGTTCCAACCCCCTGCTATGTGAAGGGTCGCCAACCAGAGACCAGGCTGCCCAGAATCACATCCAGCCTGGCCTTGAATGTCTCCAGGGATGGGGCATCCACAGCCTCCTTGGGCAACCTGTTCCAATGCCTCACCACCCTCTGGGTGAAAAACTTCCTCCTAATATCCAACCTAAGCCTCCTTTGTCTCAGTTTAAAACCATTCCCCCTTATTCTAACAGTATACACCCTCATGAATAGCTGTTCCCCCTCCTGTTTATAAGCTCCCTTCAAATATTGGAAGGCCAGTATGTGGACCATGTGGATGATCACCCTGTATCTAAATTCTACAATACAGTAAGAACAGCTCAGATCTTTGACTAATACACATCTGCACTAAAAGGAAAGAAGATGCCTGAATTTCAACCATGTCACTTCCACATGTTCAAATAATACTTTAAACACCAATACTATAATATTATGCTGTCGTACCCTCTTGTGCTGCTTCATGTGGTGAGAAAATTCTAGCATCTCCACAAGGAGACGTGCTGATATAGAGATGGAACTGCACATTCTCCTTCAGTTTAAAACCACCTCGCTCTGATTTGATAAAAATGGATTTTTCCTGATCATCTTTATTGCTGAAACAGAGAATACAGCTTAAGTCAAAAAGAAAGTTAATACATAAACAACATAGGCTGCTCAGTCCTAACAGGCATTAAAAACAAACACAGGATGTCTGGAAATTTTGCAGTATAACTCCAACAAGTTATTACAAAATGAAAAGTCAATGGAGAAGATAAATAGAGAGTCCTTTATATTATCACAGTGGGGTTTGGAGACTTCTCAGAAAACAAAACAACATCACGCGTTAGACTACTTGAGATGACTTTGATTTATATGTTTACCTTCTCAGGATTGACAATGAACCAAATACAGGCTCTGTTCATGTCAAACTTTAGGGTAAAGGTCATGAGTTCTCAGTTAAACATTCTAATGCAACAAGTGGTACTTTACACATCAGTTTGTTTCAGCGGGGCAATCTAGAACAAGTATTTCACACTGAAATTATTCAAGGATACATTTTTGGCAGCTTTTCAACTGAATGAAGCCAGCTTATCTTCCCATAAGCTTACCTTAGATAAAGCTCGAGTTGTGTATACAGAAATTTAAGCAGGCACCGGCGGGATATAATTTCTGCATGGCAATCATTTAATGCAAGACCACGATCACTCATGTATTCACCATTAATGCATTTTGTTCCCGTAGAAACACTTATTACCAGAGCATCTTTCACATCCGTACCTGGAAAAACAAAATTTTAGAAGATACAATTAAAATCACAACCTAGCAAAAGAACTTCCTGTAGAATTCACACAAGGCTCTTTTTTACTCTGTTCCTTTTCAAAATAATAAAAAAAAAGTTCTTATGACTCTTTCTCATTCTTTCTTAAAAGCAAAAGGTTTATGCAGACTTATCCAGTATGGTCTACGGTTCTTGAGAATTCAGGTAAGGTTCTTGAGAGTTTTGGAGTTCAGGTAAGTTAGAAATTGAAACATGAAAGGTAAAACTAGAGAATGAAGGAAGTTTGAGTGTTAAGCCACTGCAGAACTTATCAGCAGTACAGGACTTCTTGAGATGCATTCCCTGAGTTAAATAATTTGGCACAACAGAATTTAAAAATATTTTCTGTGTTTTCTATACAAACAACTACCTTTGTCATTAAATTAAAAAAAAAGTCAGATCCATTAAGAGTTGAGAAAGATAGATCAGAACCTTACATACATCCATCAAAATAAAGAAAATTACACCATAAAGTGGATAGCCCTACCAGCTCTCATTGCTTATGAAATAAATATTCACTGAAGTACAGCCTTGACAAAAATGGATGAGGCCAGCTGCCCCATCTACTGCAGGTGGAAAACTGGGAAACCAGTTCACTGATCCAACACAGAACAGCTGTGCAAGGGAGTCCAGGCATCCTCCAGATACTGAACTTATCAAAATGCATTTACATGTTAACTAAGTCTGGATTCTTTCGGCAAATGTCTTTTCTGGTAATCTTGGACACAGATACAATACAACCTTGATAAATAGGATGAAATTAAAAAAAAAGAAAAAAGAAAAAAGAAATTCAGTTCTACAGCATGTTCTTCATGATTGGTCATCATTATGAATCACAGAACCACAGAATCAGAATGACTTGGCTTGGAATGGACCTTAAAGTTCACGCAGTCCCAACGATTGCCATGGGGTTGGACCTCTACCTGTGGGGCACCACCCACCAGCCCAGGTTGCCCAAAGCCTCATCCAGTCCGGCCTTGAGTACTCCCATAACTTCTATGTAGACTGTTCCAGTGCCACACCAACTTCATTGTGAAGAATTTCTTCCTTATATCCAATCTAAACCTCACTTTTATTGATTAAAACTGTTACCTCTTGTCCTATCATTACACTCCCTGATAAAGAATCCTCCCCAGTTTTCCCGTAGGCCTCCTTTTAAGGACTGAAAGGCTGCTATAAGGTCTCCCCAGATCCTTTTCCTCTCTATCAGTTTCTGATCAGATGGGCTTCCGGAAATATTTTGGTGTCTTAACTCCTCACACACTTGGAATCTACCTGGAATACAAAGTCATCAGTGATGGAAGACATTCACAGTCAGCACTTTAAATCATCCAGAAGACAGCAGAATTTTTTACAAGCTTATATTTAAGGACCTGTATTAAAAACACAGTACTTGCTTTTATGGATCATATAATATTTCATGGAAGCTAGGGATGTCAGAAACGTTAGGCTTCAGCCCTCTGAAGTTAGAGCTCCAGCTCTCTGATAATCATTGTGGCCCTCCTCTGGACCTGCTCCAACAGCTCCATGTGTTTCTTGTGTTGCAGGCTCCAGAACTGGATGCAATACTCTGGGTGAGGTCTCACGAGAGCAGAGCAGAGGGGCAAAATCACCTCCTTCGTCCTGCTGGTCACAGAATTACAAAATCACAGAATCACAGAATTGTAGGGGTTGGAAGGGACCTCCAGAGCTCATCGAGTCCAACCCTCCTGCCAAAGCAGGTTCCCTACACCACAGGTAGGCATCCAGGCAGGTCTTGAACATCTCCAGAGAAGGAGACTCCACCACCTCCCTGGGCAGCCTGTTCCAGTGCTCCGTCACCCTCACTGTAAAGAAGTTCCTTCGCACATCTGTGTAGAACTTCCTATGCTGCAGTTTCCGGCCGTTTCCCCTTGTCCTGTCTCCACTCACCGCTGAAAAGAGTCTGGCCTCGCCATTCTGCCCTCCACACCTTAGATACTGATAGACCTGGATCAGGTCCCCTCTCAGTCTTCTTTTCTCAAGGCTGAACAGACCCAGTTCACTCAGCCTTTCCTCATAGGAAATATGCTCCAGGCCCTTCACCATCTTCGTGGCCCTCCGCTGGACTCTTTCCAAGAGATCCCTGTCTTTTTTGTACCAGGGAGCCCAGAACTGGACGCAGTGCTCCAGATGAGGCCTTACTGGGGCAGAGCAGAGGGGGAGGATCACCTCCCTCGACCTGCTGGCCACGCTCTTTTTAATGCACCCCAGGATGCCATTGGCCCTCTTGGCCACAAGGGCACACTGCTGGCTCATGGCAACCTGTCATCCACCAGGACACCCAGGTCCCTCTCCGCAGAGCTCCTCTCCAGCAGCTCATCCCCCAACCTGTACTGGTGCATGCAATTATTCCTCCCCAGATGCAAGACTCTACACTTGCTTTTTTTAAACCTCATCCATTTTTTTTCTGCCCAGCTCTCCAGCCTGTCATGCTTCTCTTGATGCAACCTAGCATATGGTTGGCCTTCTGGGCTGCAAGTGCACATTGCTGACTCCTGTTGACACTTTCATCAATGGACAACCCCCAGATCCTTCTCCTCAGGGCTGCTCTCTCAAGCCATTTTCCACCCAGTCTGTATTTGTGCTTGGGATTGCCCCAAACCCGATGCAGGAACTTGCACTTGGCCTTGAAGTGCAGGGGGTTGGCACAGACTCACCCCTCAAGCCTGTCCAGGTCCGTCTACATAGCATCCCTTCCCTCTAGACAGCATCCCTTCCCTCTAGATAGCATCTCTTCCCTCTAGCGTGTATCACTCAGCTTGGTTTCATCTGTGAGCTCAGTGGTGCAGTTGGTCAGAAATGGTCAAAACTATAACGTTTACTTCAGTCATACTTGTAAGACTTCTACAACAGTCAATGTTGCAGAATTACTTTGTGATCTTGTGGCTTCCTTATCTTGCTTTGCTTCTACAAGCAGCTTTTGCTTCCCTATTAAACTTCCTCAAGACTTCTCACCTTCCTTCCGTCTTCTCTCCACTCCCTGAAAGAGGGCACTGAGTGAGAAGCTGTGTGGGTGTTTGGCTGCTGGACAGGGTCAACCCAACCAGAGATATCTGGCAACATGGCTTGGGCCAAAGGTTCCCAGGTCACAATCTTGTTCTAGAGTATGCATTACTTTCTACCTTAACTAGCACCCTCAGACCTCATAAATGAAATTGGAAGGCCCCTACAAATATCTCCACATAAGGAAAGGGCTAGCACTACCCAAGAAAATAGAAGCTAACATGCAACCCAAAAGAACAAGAAAAAGCTCACAGCACATAGCTGCATAAAGGCCATCCAAAAGAAATGTCACTGTACATTTATCACTGATCTTGGTCTGATTTGTACAGCTTAGTGGAGGCACCTCATGACACGCACAAAATGAAGTGCCCACTGCAAAGGATCAGTTGTACTGAAGAAAAAGATAAACCTTAACCTAAGGAAAATTCAGAGACAGAATTCAGTTTAGGATAAAGATTCCCTGTTCTCAGTGTTCAGGCAGAGCACGTATCTCAGGACAGCAATCAGAGACCTGTGACAATACTACTGTTTGCACTTGCATACTAGAAGCAGCTGCTGAAACACCAGGTGCTTTCTTTTTCACCAGAACAACTGAGACACAAAACACTTAGAATGAAATGCAGCACAACTTACTAAACAAAGTGCAAAATTTTAAACACTTGGAAAGCAAGCATAATATCCTACATAACACGCCAAAAACAAGGATGCCACCTGTGTGAACAATGTGATGAAATGTATTTTAGACTTACTTTCAAAAAATTTCATACTTCATTCTAAAAAGTACTTTAAAGAGATCTATTTTGGAGACTGTGAGTTACCTCAGAAACCTCAACTACACAGAAGACAGCAACTCAGGAAACAGACTAATCATCCTTAGCCTATATTTAGTGCACATTCCAGATTAAACAGTAAGCATATACTTCAATATTGGTTGACTGAAAAAAAAAAGAACATAATTTCTTAGAATACAAACAAAGCTTTGGTGTTTAGACAGTTAGAACAGTATTTTTTATCTTTACCTGTTGTCATGACAATTCCAGCAAGGACTTTTCTACGTGCATGTGGAGAAGTGAAATTTTCTGTCAAATCACAGAATTTATCTACAACCAAGCGTGCAACAGCATCAGCTAAAACCTGTTGGATCACACAGAAATGCACATTAGAAAATTAAACAACCTTTAAAAAAATACAACAGTGCTATGTTATAAAGATCTGCATTTTTGAATGATTCAACACAACAGATTAAAACTGCTAGCATTGTTCGTTTTGAAACTAGGCAAAGATTTTGATGCATCTTCAGTACATCAAGGAGGGCCAGGTGTAAATTTCAGGCACATTGAACACTCTTTATATGTCGTAGAGTTCTGTGTGCTTCACACCTTTTAAAACAGGGTCACACAGCCCTAAGACAAGCATCAGAGTATCTAATGTTCATGATATTATGAAAATCTGAGGCTTAGCAGAACTGAATAAACAGATGGGTCAATATTTTCATGCTCAAACCTCAAAATACATCATTTCAGCATCAACACTGGACTTGACAGGAAGAATTAAGTGTAAAACCCAGCCTCTTCAAATCGACATGGAAACCTTTTATAACAGTCAAATGAACTACCTGGCTACTACGTACTAAGAATTAATTTCTTTTCAACAGTGGTTAAATTTTCTTCTTTTTTAAAAACAAGATACTTGCAAATTTAAGAGAGGCACTTGTATAGCATACCTATGTCAAAATTAGGAAGACTTATCTCTTTCACCTGAAGGAAAACTTGCAAATGGAGAATAAACTCTGGAAGAATTCAGGAGACTGTGTGACTTCATCTTCCCAGAACAATCAAGAAATTAAGAAAATTCCAAGTTTAACTGGGTATTGTAGACTGGGGATAAAAACATATGCTTAAAAAATACAGAAATCTCATCTCAAACTATTGGAAGAAGAACCCAATGCATTAAATTAGACAGAAGAAGCAAAAGAAATGGTGGAAAAACTGAAACAAGATTTGGTGACACACCAGTTTGGCTCTTCTTGCCGTGGATAAACCGTTTCATCTCTATACCAGTAAGTGAGGGTGCTGCTTTAGAAGTCTTAACCCAAAAATGGGAAGACAAAAGAAAACTTACAGCATACCTGTCTAAATTACTAGATTCTGTATTCTGTGGATTGCCAGAATTTTTTCAGGCACTGGCAACAACTGCCTTATTGTTGGAAGAAAGCAGGAAATTCACCTTTGGAGGACAACTGACCCTCACCAAGTAAAGAATATGCTTTACTCAGAAGGCAGAAAGGCAGCTAACAGACTCCAGGATACTGAAATATGAAGCCATATTAATAGAAAGAGATGATTTAGCTATAGTCACTGTCTATCCTGAATCCTGCCTCCTTCTTTTTGAAGGGAACTGAAGATACAGTGAACATTATGTGGAACGTAATTGTTTAGATTTAATCAATTATCAAAGACCAGGTCAGACTTACAAGATATACCCTTAAATAAAGCAGAAATATAGTTTATAGATGGATCCTCTAGAGTGGTACATGATAGATGATCTAATGGTTTCACCATCATCAAAGAGACAGAAGGAAAAGCTGAGGAAATGGGATGTTTGTCTGCTAATTGATCAGCTCTAACTTGTAAATTACATGCATAAAATCAAGCACTAAAAGTGTTACAAAGAATCAAATATAGTTCACAAACAGTGAACTATATATACAGACTTGTGATATGTGTATGGAGTCAAAAATTCAAAAAAAAAAAAAAAATTGCGAAGAAAGGGGTTTAATAAACAATAGAAGGAAGGAATTGTCCCATGAGGCATTGATTAGACAGGTTTTGGAAAGCTTGTTATTATCTGAGAAAATTGCCATAGAGCACGTAAAAGGGCACCAAAAAGGAAACCGTCTCTGATGAGAAGACTAAAGAAGATGTCTTGCAGTCAGAAATGAAAATGAATTAGAACTACTTCACAGAAAGATTTGGGAGTCTCATCTTATGAGCTGCTTTTTGGATTACCAAACTGTTCCCCAGTTTGAAACTAAAAATATTTTCCTCCAAAACAATATTTGGGTTGCCTTCCTCTGTATCTTCTCTCAGACACCAGAGACTGTTTTGGTAGATAACTATTAATAATAATGTAGATTGGATCAATTATATTTACTACAATTTGCAGAGGTCCATAAATTATACTAGAGATGCTATAAAAGATTGCAGAACAATTAGATGCCACTAGTAAGATAGCATGGGAAAATAGGATAGCATTAGACACGATGTTGGCTGAAAAGGGAGGAGGTTGTGTGATGCTAGGCGGTCAGTGTTGCTCCTTTATTCCTAACAATACTGCTTCAAATGGCATCATAATTAGGACACTGCAAGGACAAACCACTCTGGCCAATGAACTGGCAGAGAATTCAGGAATAGACACTTCACTTACTGGATGATTAGAGTCTTTGTTTGGTAAATGGAAAGGAGTAGTAGTATCCATACTTATATCTTTGTGGTAGCAGGGATTTTAACAGCAGTTGGCTACTGAACTATCCGCTGTGTTAGAGGATTGGTCCAGTGGCTAATTGAAACCACCCTATCTAAGCAGATGTCAGTAGGGCCACCACTGTAAAGATGTTGATGTTATGTGAAGAAGTAGAAAATGGTGATCAGGACAACCTCTGCACAGAAGAGAACTGTGAAGGCTGGAAGTCACCTACACAACCATGCCTTAATAGAAATTGCAAAAAGCAGTAGTTGTGTAAATAAAAGTAAGGGGGAATTCTGGGAGACAACATATTGTTTTTTGCAAAAGAAATAGAATGTGATACAAAAGGGACATATCTCGGAATCCATGATACCAGGTAAGTGTTTGTCTGTGGGAAACGGGTATTCTTGAGAGATAGAAGTCTGTGAAAGAATGTCATTTTTAGAGCTAACAGGAAAATCTGGCTGGCATTTTAACTCTCCTGCCTTGGGAAGATTGCTGGAAAGGAGGTGGGGGCAACCAAAGGTAACATCTTTAAGACATACATCTGTATCCAGAACTGCACAAGAAGAAATAAACTTATCTGGCAGATACATGGCAGGATAAACTGGAGAGGCAACTAATTTGTGGATTTTGCTTACTTGAAAGCAAAATCCTTGAAAGATGGACTTTTGTCAACTACCTGCAAAGGGGATGCACACATGATATGCAAACAGGAGAGAATGTGACCCTGGAAGTAGGGGAGGGACACAGTACTGGGAACTAAGAGATGTAAGAGCTTTGTTTCTTTACAGCGGGCACTTTTGCTTGCAGAACACCTACCACTGCAATTGCAAAATAAAATACTGTTTAGTGAGACTCTTGCCTGAGCCTCAGCTATTGGCTTGCGAGTGCTTCTCACAGCTTGAACCTCCACTGCCATACCACCACCACCTGACTCTGATATCTGGTAAGAACAAACAAGGCTGAGGTACTTAACTTTTTTGCCTCTGATAACTCTGATAACTGCTTGTCACACAGCCCTCAAACAACTGGTTTAGTAGCAGGGAACTAGGGAAGCAACATCCCTCCCACTGTAAGTGAAGATCAGGTTCGTAACCACCTGAGGAACTTGAACATCCACAAGTCTATGGGTCCCAATGTGATTCATCCCAGAGCTGTGGGGGAATTGGCTGATGTAGCCACAAAGCCACTCTCAGTGATATCTGAAAAGATGTGGCAATCAGGTGAAATCTGTGGTGACTGGAAAAAGGGCAACATCACACTGAAATTTTGAACAGGTAAAAAGAATGAACCTGGGAACTTTCAACCTGTCAGTCTCATCTCTGTGCCAGGGAAGATTATAGAACTGATCCTCCTGGAAGCCATGCTAAGGCACATGGAAGGCAGCAAGGTGATATCAAAGAACCAGCATGGCTTCACCAAAGGCAAATCCTGCTTGACCAACTTAATGGCTTTCTATGATGCTGTCACTGCATCAACAGACAAGGGAAGAGCCACTGATGTCATCTATCTTGACTTTAGTAAGGCCTTTGATGTGGTACCCCACAACATCCTTCTCTCCAAGTTGGAAAGACAGAGATCTGATGGGTGTACTGTTCGATGGATGAAGGACTGGTTGCAAGATTGTACCAAGAGAGTGGTGGTCAATGGCCTAATGTCTGGAAGGGGATGGTGACAAGTGGTGGGCTGCATCAAAAGCTGTGCAACCAGCAGGGTGAGAGAGGTGATCCTACCCCTCTGCTCTGTGCTGGTGAGACCTCACCTGGAGTACTGCACCCAGACAGAGATTCCTCAGTACAGGAGAGACACAGACCTGGTGGACTGTGTTCAGAGAAGGGCCACAAAAAAGATCCATGGAATGGAACAGTTCTCCATTGAGGACAGGCAGAGAGAGCTAGGGCTGTTCAACCTGGAGAAGAGAAGGCTGCAAAGTGACCAGTCAAGTTAAGTGGCCTATCGGTATCAAAAGGGGAGCTACAGGACAAAAAGGGACAGACTCTTCAGCAGGGTCTGTGGTGACAGAAGAAGGGAAAATGGCTTCAAGCTCAGGATGGGTAGATATAAAGAGAAAATCTTTTATGCTAAGGGTGGTGAGGCACTGGAACAGGTTGCTCAGCGTTGTGGTTGATGCCCCATCCTTGGAGACTTCCAAGGCAAGGCTGGATCAGGCCCTGGGCACCCTGATCTAGCTGTGGTGTTCCTGTGCATTGCAGGGGTGTTGGACTGGATGGCCCTCAGAGGTCCCTTCCAACTCTAAGGATTCTATGATCATAAGCAAACATAATAAAACAGGAGGCATTACTTTCAAAGCAGCCCTCATACAATATATTTAATACATAAGTAACAAAACATTTTAATTCTTAATATTTTTATTGAAACTTTTTAAAAAAGAAAGCAATAAAACAAACAAAAAAAACACGTGGGATGTTTGACTGTTTTTGTGAAACTAACATGAGTCTACTTCAGTGGCAGTGGTTGCAATTCTTAGTGAGGTATCAAGGGGTCCATCAGAGATTTCTGATGAAATATTACTCATTCTGTGCTTCATCCTTGTCAATTAATCACAAATGTATGTACTGCCAAAAAGCAATGAAATGAATAAGGTGTGATTGCGAAGTGAGAAACATTTTCGCTATTAAGAGAGGTCTTATGGAAGTCTGTTAAGGAGACATACAAATTATTTTTGTTGAATATACAATTGCATCTCTATAGATTCCACCTGAAAATTTTAACTTAATGTATTTATACTGACAGAAAATGAAGTTGCAAACATAAATTGATGATTTTTTTGCAATCCTGAAACCTATCCTCAAATTCCCATATCAAAGCAGAAATCAACGCTCACTTTTTTCTCTGTTCACAGAAACACTGACTGTGTTTAGCCAATGTATCAAAATGCACACCAGTGTCTGGTTGTTGCTGAATGCACACCTGGGGCCAGGTTGGGTCACTTGACAGGGTTGCCGCCTTTATAGTGTGAGTTGCCACACTGCAAGCTGTGCTGGGCCACAGGTCCAACATGTCTGATTTAATGCCAAACCAGACTCTTAAATGTTCTGATGATATTAACCTGAATATGTTGAAAGATACAGCTGTCATTTGCAGAAAAGAATAAAACCCGAAGTCCACATTTTATGGCCTTTTAGTATTTGCTGTGACTTATGGCACAATACAGGATATCTTGCTTGAGTGGAATGGGAGGTAAAGCAAGATGGCTATCAGTTTACAAAATCTAACTGGCCATAAAAATATTTTCTTTGTTTTGGAGAGGTAAAACCCTACCATGCAGGACTGACAATTTCTCCCACTTTAACACACTAGCTGAGAAGGTAATAAAAGCTCAAGGCCAGATTTTCAGCAGGTTATCTTCATCTGCTCCATGGTACATGACAAAATTCTTGCCAGGTTTAAGTCATTTTTTGAACAAAGATATTTTCCTTATTGCAGGCAAGTCTTTCACCACTCACAAAAGGTCAAACTGTAAACAAGATTGCTTAGCACAGACTGGCTGTAAATGTTATAAATCACAGGACATGGATTAATCCGCTGTGCTGACCAGAAAGCAATACCCATATCTATTTTATGAGCTGATGTCTAATATAATGACCTCCACCAATCTTCGATAGCTTACATGTGTATTTCCACTTTTGATTTCCTCCAGAGAGCTTGCAGCTACCAGAAGGTGTATAACTACTGACATGCAAATTTTCTCACACAATCACCATTATCAGCATTTTGTCTACGAATTAGTACAAATCCCACCCTCATTTACATTGCTCCTGTACTCTCCAATGTTTATGATTTCAAGACAATATCCAAATTTAACATCGTTATGCATACTAACCACAGAAGAGCAATCATTGTTAAAAAACAAACAACAAATCCCATAAATGAAGTAGGACCTCACTGTGGCCTTCCAATATTTGAAAGGAGCATATAGTAGACAGGAGGGGGAACAGCTGCTTACAAGAGTGCATAGTGATAGGATAAGGGGGAATGGTTTTAAACTGAGACAGGGGAGGTTTAGGTTGGATATTAGGAGGAAGTTTTTCACCCAGAGGGTGGTGAGGCACTGGAACAGGTTGCCAAAGGAGGCTGTGGATGCCCCATCCCTGCAGGCATTCAAGGCAGGCTGGATGTGGCTCTGGGCAGCCTGGTCTGATGGTTGGTGACCCTGCACATAGCAGGGAGTTGGAACAGTATGAGCATCGTGGTCCTTTGCAACCCAGGCCATTCTGTGATTCTATGATCTAACACCAGCTCCTAAAAAATCACAAAAGCTTAAATCCTTGATTATTCTCTATAATGTACCAGACCATGATTTAATTCCAGTAACTTCACAGTCAATTATAAATAAAAGATAATAAAACACAATGACATGTAGGAAGTCAACAATGTCCTAATTATAAACTAATCAAAAGACTCAAAATCAATAACTGGCTTTGAATGGGGTCCATACAACAGACCACCAGCAGCCTGCATAATCCAAATTACACCTATAGACACTACAGACACTCTCTGTTTCATACTGGAGCAGCCTTTATGGGGGTGCAGTAAGACAGGTAAAATGTAAGCTGGCCCTAAGTTATGATTTGGTGTACACAATATGGGTATCAAGGTCAGTTTATGACAGCTGGGAGTTGTAAATTGTTTGCATGTTTTCTTTGTTATTTAAACTTATAGTGCTGGTCTCTAATGCCCCATCAGGGCAAATGAACGCAACAACATTTCTGCATATCATGCACAACCTACCTACAGCAACAGCCCACCTGTGACACGGCACTCTGAGGCAACAAACAGTGGTTCACAGGACTAAGAATGCAGGACAAAACCTCACAAAGCAAGAAAATCAGAAGCACCTAGCATTGTCACACGGTCCATTAAAGTCCCTTACTAATTTGTTATACATCTGCCAGACAAACATCTTTAAGCCCATGGAACAACAAAAGAGTGAGCTGAGAGGGAATATAATGATTTATCCTCACTTTGGACTTACAAGTTGCCCTGAACAATTCTGGTACATATCACTTCTTATTCTGTTCTCCTTCTTATTGCAGTTCAAATTTTAACCATTTTAATGATTCATGGCAGTGAAAATTTTTGGTGTCTGATGCCAAATACACCTATAAAAGCTCTTTTTTTAAAAGCAGTCTTTAATAGCTAAAGAAATCACAACTACCTGCAACAGCATAACCTTAGATTTCAAAAAGGAGGAAACATTCATCAATAATGCAATACTGTACAAGATTATTAAAAAAAATTGAGAGAGAGCATTTAGGAATTTCTTAAAACGCATATTGTCCATGAAACTACAGGAAACAACACACTTAAAATAGTCACATATATTTATACTCTTTTAACTTGACATTATTGAATAATGTTGAATCAAACTAATACAATATTTTAAATGAAATTTAAAATGATATTTTAAAGATAGCAAAGGCCAATGACTTGAAACTATCTTTAAAACAAACAGAAAATTGCAAGGAATTCACAGGAAAGTATATGAATTTAGGCAGGCAGATAATATCCTTAAAAAGACCGTATCGGTGTAATAGAAAGAGGGTGTTAATTATTACTGCACTTATACAGGAGTAAAGCAAAAGCAAACAAGTGAGAATTTTTCATCATTAAGAATGTAAGAATTATGCCATTCCAACTTCCTTATATTTTTTGGTCTCTGTCCGGTATGTTTGTTACCTTCCCTACCTGTGCATTGATACAAACACCTGAGCTGGCAAGAAAGTAGCAAGAATGGCAGAGAGAAATCCAGGCTTCTCAGATTTATTCCAGCTGCTTACATAATACATTTATTTATTTGATTTAAATTAATTCTCATCCACATTTATTTGCCTAAGTAATTTGCATATAGTCATTAATTAATTTTATTAGAGCACATTCTTTAAGATGTCAGTTATTTAACCACAGATTATGGACATGAGTGTTGCCGGTCTGACTTTCATTCAGACCCTGGAAATGAGTGATGGCTTCGTTAGTCTCATCTGACCTGTCCTTGACTTCTATGATTCAACTCTGCTAACATCAACAATTTCACTTTGCAGAAGATAATTTTCTGCTCTGGTAAAAATGACTGTGTCAGATAGCAATACCACCTGAAGCATTAATGCTGACTTGAACTCCGCCGGCTGCCTGAGACAAGTAAACCATGGCTCAATCTTTGCTCAGTGCAAACAGTAATGTAAACTGATGTCAAGCTGTGCTTTGTGCCCTATTACATGGGATGATAAAGGCTGAAAGCATTAGCAACAAAACCTCATCTCCATCCAAAAGAATAGGAATGTTGCACACAATTGTCGGAAGCCACAAATGGATCAACTAATGTAGTGTGCGTATTTACAAATACATGTATGTCCACACAAACATGCACACATACACACTCATCCATACAAGCAGAATAAGCAGAAATGTTGAAGCTGATTCAAAACAATTCATCTTGGCTATTTTCGGTAATCATCTAAATGTGCTGGCAAACATCAAAGGATTTCTCACCTGTGGCAAATGTAACTGGAGCCCCTCACTAGGAATGGGCTGTCGAGATGGAGTCTGGTCCAGCTGCATGTTAAACAAGGATGCCAGGGCTGACTGAGCAGCCCGAGCTTTCGCAAGCTTTTTATTCCTTCCCGATCCTTCAAATGTTTGCCCATCCACAGCGACAGCCATGACAAAGTTTTTGGCATGGCTCTCCCCGCTCTCTGAGAGAAACTCATACTTCAGGCCTGGCCGGAGCTCATTCAGGATCATTACAGGATTCTTCCCACTCGCGGTCGGGTATGGCAACGATGCAGGGAGAGGCAACTGAGTAAGGCTACTTGCCACAGCAGCTGATGGCAGACCATACTCCCTGCTGGAGCCAAAGGAGCCATCCCCATTGGACCCTAGGTAAAAGGAAGCATCAGAAGGAACTGGAGTTTCAAATCCATTGAAAAGCGTGTCAGGAAAGTCTGCCTGGTCAGAGGTGAAGTCCGTGTTGACAGAGAGAGTCCTCCCCATGGCCAGGTGTGCTTCTGATGCATTTGGGAACTGGACAAATGACCGCAGAGCCTTCTCAGCAGCGTGGAGCTTGGCTTTCTTCTTTGTGGGGCCAGAGCCCTCAAACACCTGTCCGTTAACCTCAACAGCCATCACAAACATTGGGGCATGAACTGGCCCCGTCTGGGACAGCAGCTTATACTGTAAACCAGGTTTGATCTCATTAAGTTGCATCAGGGCATTCTTTGGCAAAACAGGACCTGGTGTTTTCTTCCTCTTCTTAGGGCGAAATTTGGAGTGGCCATTGTTGCCTTCCTCCAAAGGCCGCTTTCTGCTGCTGCTGCTGCTGCTGCCACCATTGGAGAGCTGAGCCCCCTCCCCGGTGCCTTGTGCACTGCCATCCTTGGGGGGAACGTTGTCCATGTTGCGGTTTTCTTTAACATCAGTGCTGCTTGAACCTGCGGTGCCCAGAAAGAGTAACTTACAATGCCTTTGTTGCAGGATCTTGTAAATGCAAAATTTATAGATTCCTTTATCTCTCTTTGTAATTGGTTAAGTGATGTGTGCTCACAGATCAAAGCTTTTGCAGCATAAATGGAGAGCAATACCTTTTAATAACAAAGAACACATTCAAGACTTTCAAATTTGCTCTTGATACTTTCATACAACAATAAAACACGGAAGCTTTTTTTTCAACAAACTGATGCTGAAATAAAATTTTTACTCATAAATTACATTTGAAGTGAAAAATGCCTTAAAACAGAAAAACATTGTATTATTTGTAGGATAAACTATCAGTAGTAAAATAAAAATGGATATTTCAGACCAATACTAGGAGATTTATATTTAATTATACTTTATTCTTATTTTATTCATATTGCATTTCTGTCTCACATGATTTTATTTGCTCAATTCAAGAAATAACATAAATAAAATCTGAGTCGTGAAAAACAGAGCAGTTCTTTGTTAGCTAGGCACCTTGACTGAAAACTGTATGTTTTGCTTCTCTGTAGCTATGCCATATTCTCCAAATTCAATCCTTTTTTTGCTCTTCCCAGTCTTCAACAGAGGCTAGCATAGAGCGCAGCTCTTCTCACAGCAACTCTGACCCTTTAGCAGCATACACTGAACACAGCTGTTAAAAAATCCTGTGTCTAACTTAGGCTGCACCAGAAAACTACTATACATATGTTTTCACACAGCCTTTGATTGAGAAACCTTTTTTTGCCATTTACATGCAGTGTTTAAAGTTCTTGCAAAGTAAAAAACTGCTCTCTCAGATTTTAAAACAAATAATGAAGATTGTCTCTTTAAGACTACACAGAACACAAAATGTGTGACAAAATCTACACAATCACAATGATGCTATTTTAATGGGGAAGAAAAACAATGTGGTATTGCAGCATTAATGATTAATGCAATAATTTATTTTCTAACTAGAAAATTGGGGCAGTGATAATGTTCGATATATATTTCAAGAATTACACTTGCTGTAACGGGAAAGATCTCATTTTTACTCTGATTAAAAAAAAGAATGAAATGACTTATTTGTGCTTTATAGCAACATTCATGAATGAAAAGGCAAATTTACTTGGTCAAGTGTTTCTAACTCTTCTGTTCCAAGACTTCAGAATATCTAGTACTATATTAAATTCACAGTGATAATAGGAAATAAATATTTATTGAAATTGGAGCAAATGAAGATGGAAGATCTCTTCTCAACAAATTTCAAATCATGCTTTCTTAAGTATTCACTACCCTGCACACATCACTTAGCCCAGCTTACAAAGCTGATGGAATAGTTACTAAATTTTCATTTATAACATCCTCCAGCAAAAGCTCGATAGGTTACTCCTTTCGGTGCTCAAAGAGAAAAAAAAAGAAAAAAGAGAGATGAAAAAAAAAAATTCCTAACGTAGAACATCTTTTGTTAGATTTCAGTAGTGTAACAAGGAACTGTACAGTATTTAACACTGAATTCCAGTCAAATACTGTACAGAAACATGAAACATTCTCGAGTACTTCATAGCTAGAAATCTGCTAAATTTAATAAAGAATCTCTTGTAATATTCAGCCACAAATTATACTGTCTGCAGAACATGCTGTGTGGAGACACAACAGTCAATACAGTGTTCATGTTTATCTCTCCTTACCTTACTACAGTGAAAGAATTTAAAGAAAATAGAACAAATTTTTTTAAACTTCCTTACATTGATTTTTCACCTAAAGTTGTAATCTTCAGAAGTTATCTAAAATTATCTATAACAGTGCTTTTCAAACATTGTTCTTACTAGAAGCAACATAAATTTCCTGCAGAGCAACGTAACTTTTCAGCTAAACAGATTTCTTCATTCAGTTAAAGCCAAAAAACAGCTTCTGTTTGCATTTTCCTCTTTATAACGAGTGTCTGTGGAAGCCACGTAAGGAAAATACGAGCTGAGCAGACAGCAACTGAACATACAAAGAGAAGTTTTATTTCCAAGTTCAACAGCTGGAGGAACTATTTAGTCAATTTCGTTACACAAGTACTGGAAATCATGTCCTGTTAAAGAGGGAGGATTTGCAGGGGGCAGGAAAGAAACTCATATGCTTACTTTGGTTTAGAAAAGAAAAAGAAGGGAAGAAAACTGCTCCTTGCCTGCAAGTTACCAGGCATGTTAACTTTAGAGAATCTGTAGGGTGGAAGAAACTAGGAGAGAGAGCAAGTGGGGAGCAAGCAGCCAGTGTCAAACTCCAGACACTGTGCAAGTAGGCAGATTTTCACATCATTAAGATGATCCAAATCAAAACCCTGCACATGGTGGAAAGAAAAAGTCTTTCTCTGTGAACCAGAGGGCTCTGGTTTGTTTCATCCCATTAAGTGCTGAACTGGAAGAAAGAACATCTGTTTTCCAGGATAAGGGAGAAGATTTCCTTTCAGAACTTTCCTTTAGTCCGTCCTGCTCAGCAGCTGTGAGTTCCCCTAATTACCTTTGGGCTGAAAAAGAACTGACAGGTTAGTCAAAAAGTAGTATTAGCTAAGACCACCTGCTAAAGTCAGAGAAGTCACCTTTCATACTCTTTCTCATATTTAGACATCCTGAACTTCCTCCATTCCAGCTCCTCCCTGCTGTTCAGAAAGGGCTCTCATTCCACCAGGCCTCTATTGCAAAGCCTTATCATGGTGGAGGACTTCAGAATGGGCTTACTACCTCATCTAGCTCAAAAGCTAACTGACTGCCTGCGGGGCCAATAGCAGACCTCAAAAGAAGAGTAAAACCAGAACCAAGACCCCAGCACAACCGCAGAGAAATCTCCAAGCTTTCAGGGTGCTACAGCTCTTGAAGTGTCCTTGAGGGGGCATGATGGGGAGCTGCAGATGTCTTTTTTTCCCCCATTTTTTCTAATTGCTTTTCAAGACCATACATACTCTTGGTATCACTTCTGAGTTTCATTATACACTGAATGAAAACATATCCCATTGCTTGCTTTGAATCCCCATCTGCTAATCTCACCTAATATGTTGTTTTAATTTGTTGATTTCTATATGTTATGGTTCTAATAACAGTAATGCTCCTGATTATGCATGTATATCAAGCGTTTCAACCTTGTCACCCCCCATCCACCACTTTTTGAGCAGAAATCCATTGGGTGTTAAGGAGCAGGACACACTGTAGATTTACCTTTTTGCCGTATTTTGCACTCTTTTTTGTTCTGTTAACACTTTGTTTTAGAGACCATAAGACTCTGAGATGTCTCCCACACACTTCGAAGGGAATGAGAAACCCTGAAATCTCTGTCTGACTCAGGATTCCATGAAGGTAGGAGCAGCAGTACTTAAAATTCTGCTGCTCTACACCAGAGTACACAGAAGGCACTGACCATCACTCCATGCACTTTCTAAAACACAGCTCAGCTCATTTCATGTGTCTGATTTGGTGTGCTGCCAGTATCACAGCTAAAACAAGGCAGGAGAACTGAAATTGTAAATGTTAAAACATTGTCAAGCATGTACAGTAATTAGGAGAGGTCTGATGGGAAAGAAGATTACCATCTGAACTATTAAAAAAAAAACAAACCTCTCCATCCAGTAACAGACATTTTCCTTTTTTTTTTTTTTTTTTTTTTCCAATTTCTTGCAGTTGACAACGAGATTACGTACACAGTCTTGATAGATCTAACAAACAAAACACAAGATTTATAAAAGTAACTAGTGCTATATTTTATATATGTACATGTATGCTGGAATTCAAGAAGCATCCGGACAGTTCTCAGACATACGGTCTGATTTTTGGGTGGTCTGACATGGAGTTATGAGTTGGATTCATCTTTATGGATCCATTCCAACTTGAGATATTCTATGATTCTATATATGTATGTATATTCAAGTCTATAAATTTTTCAGTCTTTAAATTCTCAAGTACTGAATACTTTAGGCAGCCTTTTCAAGTTGATCACAGCCGTTGTGTATTCAGCTCTTTGAAGCAGCATCAATATAGATACAACATCTGACAACAGCATCCTGCTTTATTAAACAGAAAAGCTACCCATGATTTAAAAATAAGATATTTTTCCTAATACTAGCCTTCTGGACCTCAGTACAAATGTCCTGATGGCAGGATACTGAGGTATCTTTCACTGCACAACATGCACCATTGGCAGACAATCAAACCTCACACAACACCAGATTATTCAAATGAAAAAGCTCAAAGAACTCATTATCACATTAGCCAACATTAAAATGTTGTATGCTACTAGCTACATGAAATGTCTTCTGTTAGAAATGCTCACTTGATGTATTGTACTGTCTTGGCCTTCAACCTTTCTAATTGTCTGGCTTTTTCATGTCAAAATGATTTTTATTTCCATCAAGTCTCACAATGATCTGCCTACAAGAATTACACAGAAGGCTCTCATCCTGAGAGTTCTGCACAAATCTGCTGTCAAGATAACCCAGCCTACCTTGGGCAACCTTATATCCTGTTGCTAGCTCTTCTGTGAGGTAAAGGAATTTGCAGAAAAGCAGCTAAGACACAGTACACCTACAACCCAGGATGGGTCTTACACGCCACTCAGACTGGGATGCATAGTACTCATAAATAGTGTCAATGCAGTATACCAAACTATTTATCAAAACAGGAAAATATTTTGTAGACATAAGTTATAACTGGACTAGCACATAATCATGTATACTTCAAAAACACTTTTTACTCAAAAGCTCTTAATTATGCTTATATCCTATATTTAAAAACATACAAAAATCATTTTAATTCATGCTTCAAAGTTCCTTCAGTCATCTCTGTGGCTTATGAGAAAAAGTAACCTTTGAAACGACTGCATAATTCAGTAGTGTAAATAAACATCTTACTCATGTTTTCTTCATCATCTACATCCATTGTGAAATACTTCTGATGGTTTTTTTGGCTGGCAGAGACTGCTGCTGTCTGAAAAACAGGAAGTGGAATATTTAAGCTTTAATATAACCAACGTACAAGGTAAAGCACTAGATCTCCTTGAAAAGCAGAGGTCTGGGCACTAATTTTGATTTGGACTCTCCATGGCTACTTCTGTAAGCGAAAGTATATGTTGCAGAACTGCAAATTCAACAAAGTTTGCAAGAATTTGTTTTCTGAATAGTGAACTTGTGAGAGGTAAATTATGTTTTTCCAGTATGTGACTGTGTGGTTCCAGTCTTGGTGGAATCTGGCTAATTTCACCTATGACCTGATACAAGATTCTGTCACAGCATTTGTGATGACCACAGCCCAAACATCAGTGTACACTATATACCCCATAATTGCCTTAGGTATAAATCACGACGAGTCTGTTCTTCACCTTACTGACCACTGAGAATGGGCCTATCTTGAAGCTGAGAATTGGTTTATGTTACCACTTGTACAGTAAGAACTCAACGAAGATTTATTTGTGAAAGCAATACCATCAGGGGCCAGGATATCTGTCTTGACATGGAACAGAATGTATGTCATTTTGAAATCCATCCTAACGAAAAACCTGAAACTGTATTGATCCATATAGGAAAAGGCTGTGTTTACATGAGGATGCACTGCAATTTTAATGTGTTTAATATTGATACCGTAGATACTAGAACTCATGCTAATCCTTGTATTTGTAACTTCACCAAAATAACAGGGTGTGATTTTACATCTATTGTACCTGTCACCTCATATCAGCTACTACAATCTGATTACACACAGATCCAAGGTTTACTACCAGTTCATATTGGAATGAATATTGCAATGGTGAAGTTCTTACAACGTGATGACCTGAAACAGTTATTGAAGTAATCCAAAGAGAATGGACAAAGAACTCTGATCACAGCAGACCACAATGTGAAGGAAATATATTGAATAATGGAACGGGCAAAGAGAGATGGAGAACAACAATGGTGGGATGTTCTTTTAGATGGTCACCTGCTGCAACAGGGCTTTGCAATATGATACTGCATCCTACTGTGGTTATTTTGATGTTATGCCTGATCTGCTTACTCTTAATAGCAATCTTATATATTAGAGTTTGGAAAATAGCAAGATGATTAGTTCTAATACATTATTGCAGTCAATTAGCAAGGCAGGCTAGAAAGATAGCTCTCCTATATTAGAAATGTTTCGTAGTTTGTGCAAAAACAAAAGAGGGTAAAAAGAAAAAGAAGGGAAAATGTGAGAGGTTTGTTTTTGCAGTAGAAGCTCCCAATATTTTCTGTATGTACTATAGGCCTTCACTAAACTTATAACCCTCGTGAAATAGCTGTTTTTCTTCCACTAAGAAAGTTGCTGAACAGAGTAAAAAGTCAAAGATCTGGAGCATTCTGACTGGGATAGAATTGACTTGGGTACAAGATAATGCAAATATGCAGGGTTGGGAGAGAGCCCAGCACAGGACAGAACAGACATGCTCACTCTTGGAAATATTGCCCTCCTATCTCCATGGGAAAATACAAAACATATCAAAAAACAACAGGTTGGTAATGGACCTTATATGGAAATGTCGGGGGACAGTGTCGGGGAGATTGTGAGCTGAGACGCTGAGCCAGTGAGCGAGTGCCAGGAAAGCATTACCTGCGTCGGATTTAGGGTACTGAACGGAATGAATTTCGCTGAGCAGTGCGCAATTTCTCCCTTGCCAATAGGGGGCGCGCGTCCGTTATTGAGATAATGATAAACTTCGCTGCTATCACTAAGACCTTTGCCTAACCTGAAATTTTTGGCTCTGAGTGTTTCTCACGAACTACAGCTTCTTTTTTTTTTTTTTTTTTTTTTTTTTTTTAATCTGAAGGAGGATATAAAATATTTTATCTCACTACTAGCTAGTGGTGGTGGGTTGTATGGGAACTGCTGAGTCACGGCCTGAACCTCTGATTGATCACCTGAGGCGAGCCATGAGTCAGCCAGAGGAGCACAGGTGAAGGCAATTCCTAGACCTATTTAAGAGCTGGCTACCAGAGGGGAAGGATCTCTTCTGGAGATCACCTCTCTTGGTGTTTTCTGGTGAGCTCAGCCAAAGGGTAAGCTCTTCCACTTATTCTCTTTTTGTGATCATTGTCTACTTTGCCTAATTCTCTTGATTATATTGTGATTATAACATCTTGATATCTATTGATTATACATGGGTTTTTTTGTTGTTTGTTTTTTTAAGGATGACAATTTTCATGAATTAAATGAAGCAATGCTCTTCCCATGGGGAGCCACCAGTATGTCTCAACATAAAATTAATGTCAAATCCATTCTGCAGGTTAACATGCAGGTAATTCAAGCAGTCAAGATACTGACAATGCAGTTGTTTACCCAGCACGATACTGATGTACATTTGTTTTTTGTACATTATTGTACAAAATTTTTGTATGTACAAAAATTTTGTACAATAATGTACAAAAAAACAATGTACATTACATACAAAAATTTTGTACATTATTTTGGTTAAAACTAGAGCTGCTATTCCTCTTTAAATTGAGATGATAGATGTAAGCCCAACATCAGCTGAAGGACAGAATGAGTAACATAGTCTTCTCTCCTACACATGAGTTGTGCTCATTTCTTATTATTAATCAAAACATTCAGACTATGTTACATATAGATTATCTGGCTTTGGGAAAACAATTTTACTAACCACTGAAACTTCTGCTCTTATACTCAAGAGACACAAATCTAAAGGTGAATGTAAGCATCTAACATAACAATGTAATACATTCAGCATTTTGCTTGTAAGAAAGCAACACTTTTAACCTAATCAAAAGCACTCGTTAGAGGGTGGTTTGTTTTGTTGCTTTTTTGTTGTTGTTTATTTTTTTTCTTCACAAAGAAGAGTGTAACAAGACCAACAACAAAGTTCCTCCATACATTTGTCAGGGGCAGTGCAAACTTTCAAGTGGCATGAAATTAAAATAATAGGCTTACACACACTTTTTCTCTCAAGACTCCCAGGAGCACCTAAAACAAATCACAGGATTTCCTCCATTTCCAGCCCCCCCCCCCCCCTCCAATTCAAAGATGGTATGTACAAAATGACTATATTATCTCTATTTTGCATACATAATGGCTTTAGGTAAACCGTGGGTTTCTGACTGGCAATCTCTCTTTCCAAGCCTCTGTGATCGTTCACATTGCGTACTACAATCTTTCCACCGGCCTATAACAAATCCTGTTTTCCATTTAATGTGTGTAATTTAAAGAGCGTTTAAGCCCATCGCTCAGGCCTGGTAAAGAGGCATGCTCACATCTGTATGCTTATGCTCTACACACATGTTCTCTTCCCTCCATCTGCTCATCCCCAAAGAAGACTGTGACTGTTGTCATTTGGACTTCAGTTGCCTCTGGATTACATGCATACACTGGGAAAACATCCCACTTTTTTAATGGGGCAACTAGTAAGCTTCTAAATAAGAAATTGTAGATTTTCTTATTAAACAGTATGTGCTACTAATAAGGCTAAAACTAACACTGTCAATTGCATATAATATGTACAGTATTGTGTACTGTTACATACAATAATTAAGAGGAAAAACTTACCTGTACTAACAGCAGAAGTAACAGTGATTCTGTGAAGACACAGCTCAGGTAGCACAGTCAAAGTATACCTGAAATCTATCTATGGAAAGGTTTTGGTTTTTTTTTTTCAGGCAAAAGAAAATAATATGTAAAATGACTGTGAAAGCCCAGGTGTTTTTTTTTTTTATCATGGCTGTGCATATTTAATGACAAATCAACTCATGAACACACCAGCTATTTTGGAATAAGAATTAAATTCTAACATCTCCGAAGTGTTGCAAGCATGTTGCTCATAGTGCAATGTTCAGCTTGGAAACAAATTAATCTCCCTCTCCCAGCCTTACTGACATATACTGTACATGTGTATACAGTACATCCTATAAACTATGTACTTGTTAATGATCTTCAGGATTTTAAAACACATGCTCTTTCCTTAAATCTCTCCAAAAAATGGTGACTCCACCATCTTCCTGGACAGCCTGTTCCAACTTCTACCCACTCATTTAGAGAAAAAGTTCCTCCTAATAAGTAACCTCAACCTCCCCTAGCACAACTAAAGCCATTACCTCATGTCCTACTGCTGTCACATGGGACAAGAGACCAACCCCACCTCTCCACAACCTCCTTTCAGGCTGTAGTAGAAAGCAATAAGGTCTCACCTGAGCCTCCTCCTCCTCACACTGAACAATCCCAGCTCCCTCAGCCACTCTCCATCAGACAGAAGGTGCTCCAGACTCTTCATAGCACCGTTACCCTTCACTGGACATGTTCCAGGGCCTTGATGTCTTTCTTGCAGTGAGGGACCCAACACTGAATACAGTGCTCGAGTTGCAGCCCCAGTGTTGCTGAGTACAGAGTGATGCTCACTTCCCTGCTCCTGCTGGTTGCTCTATTTCTGATACAGGCCAGGATGCTGTGGGCCTTCTTGGGCACACTGCTGGCTCATGCTCAGACAGCTGTCAGGGATGTTAATCCCCTGATCCTTTTCTTTCGCATAACTGTCCAGTCCCACCTTTGATGATCCTTGGTTTGTTGTGACTAACGTGCAGGACCTGGCATTTGGTCTTGTTGAACTTCATCCCACTAACCTCAGCCCAGTGATCCTGTCTGCCCAGATCCCTCTGTAGGGCCTTCCTACCCTCAGGCAGATCAACACTTCCTTCCAGCTTGGTGTCATCTGCAGTCTTACTGAGAGTGCACTCAATTCCCTCATTCAGATCATAAATGAAGATACTAAAGAGGGTAACTTCTTTAACTATTAATTCAAACCAAAACATATTATTGTTTAAAAAAGAAGTGTTTGAAAAACAGGGATGCAAGATGCTTCTAAAAGCACAATACTCCAAAGAAGGTGATGCTTTTTAAGCATAGGAGTATAATAAATACATAAGTAAGCTAATTATTAGAGCAAGGACTGGGAACGTTGTTGAATGATACAGTTTCCTTCTGAGTAAAGAATCTTCTAGAATAATTTATTTTGGTGTGTACGAAACAGTAAAATAAAATACTCCCAGAAAATAAAATGCTTAGAGGTATCAGGCAGTCAGGGCATTCGTGTCCTATTGAATTACTAAGGCCTAAACAGTAGGCCTTGAATCAAAGTTGACCAATACATAAGTCTCACAACCCAGCGTTACATATTATTAGTATTCGGTCATTAGCAAAACATGTATGATCATTAGCGAAGTATGCAACTTGGACAAAATGTCTCACCAGAAAGAGATAAGTAGCTTAGATAAAGCACTATGAAAGTGTACTAACCTTTCCTTGCTTAGAAGCACAGTGTCAAGGCCAACGAGCACACAAACTTCCTTGGTTCTTTCTTGAACCCTGGCCAGGCTTGAGGTGGAATCCAAAGAGGAAGAATGAAACCAGCTGTTTCTGCCTGCCGTGTAAACTTGTTTATTCAACAATACAAAAACTGGACCCGCTTGCAGCAAAGTTGCACCTCCCAGTTGCCAAGAAAGGCTCTCCAAAACTTTGCTGTGGCCAGCGCTGCCCAGTGACTGTGGAGCTGGGTGGTGGTAAAGTATTAGGGTAATGAATCTTTCTTAATCACTACTGCTAACCTTCTGTAGTAATGGTTAGGCGCATTGCCTACTCTGTTTTAGCATCATAGAAGAACCATAGAATCATAGAATCTTAGAGTTGGAAGGGACTTCTGAGGGCCATCCAACTCCCCTGCAATGCACAGGAATACCACAGCTAGATCAGGGTGCCCAGGGCCTGATCCAGCTTCGCCTTGAAAGTCTCCAAGGATGGGGCATCAACCACAACACTGAGCAACCTGTTCCAGTGCTTCACCACCCTCACTGTAGAAGATATTTTCCTCACATCTAAGCTTAATCTAGCTTCCCTGAGCTTGAAGCCATTTTCCCTTCCATCACCGCAGACCTTGCTGAAGACTCTGTCCCGTTCGTTACTGTAGCTCTCCCCTTTTGATACTGCTACTGTCTGTCGTTCAGTACCACAGCAAGAATAAATGTAAACTAGCAGTAACAGAATTTGCTGTAGGCTAATGACAGTCTGAACATTTGCTCTGCACAGCAAACTCATCCAACACAATGCTGCTGGCTGCACATCGGACATTCCAAGCCGTTCTGATATCATATCCCTCAGTTTGCAGCTCAGGTGATCAAATCTGCTCTAACAGCACCATCTACTGTTACTCTATGCAAATAACTGGTTCTACATTCAATGTTCCATTGACCAAGCAAGCCTGGAGCTCAGCTCAAAATAAGAAAAAAACTTACGACGCAGAATTGTTTTACAGTAAACTATTTCTGAACATATATTTATTACGAAGTTTTGTTTTAGCCATCCACCATCCTTCGTAAGAGCCTTCTTCAAGGGCTAAATTTTTAATTTTTAACGTACATTATTTCTGAAAGATTCCTTAAATATCCACAATTGTCAGAAACATACTTAAGATGTGTTTCCTCAGAAAAAGTTGTAGTCATTCAGAGAATAGAACTGAGAAATCTAGACCTCTGATTAAGTAGTATTCATATTTTTGTCATAATTTAAAAGATTATAGTTGCAGCTGTTGAATTAACCCAATAGTTAATTGGAAAATAAACTTGAAAGGCTGTTAAAGCAGGTTAAAAAAAGCCCCAAACACACTGAAACTATTTAAAAAGTCAATCAGGTAGGGAAATAGTTGGCTTCAGGGACTGAACTTAGAAACTGGACTGATTTTCTCCTTCCCCATTACATTCATTGATTAAGCTCAAAATTGTTGGACTTGGTGATCCCCAAAGGTCCCTTCCAACCTCTGTGATTGTATGATTTTTCTAGAGCCACGCACAGCACCACATCATCTCTTGGCCAGGCACCAGGGCTTCACAGCTGTTGGGTGTTCAGACATGGGATAAATAGATTTTGCTGCAATTTAGCAATCAATTTTATTATTTTTTTAATTGCATTGCATTGCACTGCATGATGCTAAACATTGAGCTGACTGGATTTGTGATTACTTGTGATCCTGCAGCAGCAAAAATGTGCTTGGAGTGGCAAAAAGCAGGGAGAAGTGTGAAGAAGATGTGTTGGTTTTAAAAAAGCGGGAATGAAGATAAAATGGCAGCAGTGATGAACAAAACTCACCGGTTCTGAATTCTGTGGTTCACTAAAACAGTACTTTATTTGAAGGACACAGTTTAGGGTGCATGGGGAATGGGTTGATGGTTGGACTAGATGATCTCAGTGGTCTTTTCCAACCTTAATAGTTCTATGATTCTATGTCATCTTTACATATTTATTTTATTAACACAGACTGAATACAAATTTTTGGTTAAATGGCTAAGAACTTTTACGTAAGATGAGCATCAACTTGATATATTTGTGTATTTCTTAATATTCTCTATATTTTCAAATTGTTTTGATTGGTTGTTCTTGAAATGGTTTAGTGCACCAACTTTTTAAGTATTGAATGACTATGCCAATACATTAAGATGAAATATCTCCATCCTATCATGATAAGCACGCATCAATTAAAATACGAAGCACCATGCTATATATTTATAAGTATTGTCTGCTTACCTTTTTAATTATTAGGGACACATGCTGAGTCTGCAACCTGCAAAAAGAAAGAACACAGAGCAATTTTATTTTCACAGATGCAACTCCTGGCCTTAAAAGGGACAAATTTCTGATTTGTGAGAATAAACAGTAAAAATTTGCACATAAACAATAATCAGCAGTATAACAGTCTCAGATGAAATCCTCTTGTAACACCAGCAAAGAGAGCAGAAAAAACACCATTCTGGATATTCCTGGTCAGGGAAAAAAAACAAAAGGACTCAAATTGCTCAGTATTTGGGCCAAGGAAAGCACCCCAGGGGTACAGGAAGCTGTGATTTTATTTTATTGTTTAATTTCAGTATTAAATTTTATTTATAGTGGCTGATTCTAACCCATACAAACAACATCTCACATTACACATCCTTTTTGAAAAACATCAGTCTCTTGATTATAATATAGACACCATCTTGCATTCTCCAGAAGCCCCTGCAAGACTGGAAAACCCCTCAGCTACCAGCACTAGGAAGGGAAACAAAAGGCAGACTTTGTGAAAGAAAGATACAGGGTAACAGAATGGACTAGCTCTGCAAAAAATCTGTTCTATTTCCACACACATGCACATTAAATTGCATTCTTGCTTAATCGGGAGCAGAATGATTTTGCTATTACAGATGAACTCCTAGGTACAAAAGGACTAAAGTAGTTCTGACATTCAGCAAATTACAGAAGTCATTTTCAAAGCAATAGAGCGTTTCAGTCAAGATGCAATGTTTTGCACAAACACATGTGCAGTCCAGTAGTTATTTAGGGTGGGGGACACAACCTGTACCTGGGACAATATACAGCCACTGCTGTAAGAGATTTTCCCATTTCCATCTTGCAAGTCAAAATTCCACACTATTCCACAGCCCACAAGAGGGTGCTGGCACACTGCAACATCTTTCAGTAAGCAAACTAGATCCAAGTTACACAGCGCAAATAGTACAGCATTTCAATTTCCCAACGCTGCATGGCAGTAATAACAATTACCTAGAAAAAACAAAGCAATAGCATTTTGGTCATACCATGAACTACTAACAACATTCAAAAGCTGAATGCAGTGTCAACTGGAGTCAATTTCCATGCTGCAATAGGCTACATTCAACCACACTGAACTATAAATCAACATACTGTCAATGTTGCATTTATATCCCCTTTCTTATTTCCTCAAACTAGTAGCACCATATGTACAAAAACTCCTTCACTAGTAATGCTAAGAATACAAGCTATAAGCTATATGAAATTCCTGTATTTCTTCTGGCATCACCCAATGAAAAATATATTTTTTAAAGATTTTGTCAAATCTTATTCTACATAAGCATTTCTTTAAATAAAGTTATAATTCATCTCTAGACAAAATGTTAGTAATTTTCCAGTTTTTACATTAACATGAACTGGAGTTGTTTCACAAATCATATTCCTTATTTGTCAAATCACCCCAGCTGATAATTTCATGAGTTTCAAATAAGCTAAACAAGCATAATTCATGAGAACTGGGACTTCAAATGGGTTTACTAAGTGCAAAAAATCCGTGTATATATTGACAGCTGTAGACAATTTCACAGTGTAAGAATAATCCCAAAAGCATGACACATACAGAACAATTATACAGTCCTTACATTATTTAAGAGACCAACAAAATGCAAAATAATCCCAAAGTTTATTATAGCTCTGTGGCTAAAGGCAACAGCCCAAGTCTAGGAAAGGATAGCTGGAGTGGGTTCTGTCGCCTGCTCTGTTACTGCAGACCATAGCAGCACACAGGACCGGGCAAGCTGGATGCTGAAGAAAATGGCAGTTCTGTTTTGCTCTTTTTTTAATAAAAAAAAAAGAAAAAAAAGTTCAATAGCAATGAGCACACCAAATTGTAAAACAACATTCTTCGAATATTGCATCTACATTTCATAGAATCTTAGGATGGTTTGGGTTGAAAGGACCCTTAAGATCATCTAGTTTCAACTGCTATAGGCAGGGACACCTCCCTCTAGACCAGGTTGCTCAAATCCGCTTCCAGCTTAGCCTTGAATGCTTCCAGGAAGGAGGGCTCCAGTCCTGCTGGGCAACCTGTTCAAGTATCTCACCATCCTCACAGTAAATAATTTTTTCCCAATATCTAGTCTAAATCTCCCCTCTTCCAGTTTAAAACCATTTCCCGTCATCCTGTGACTGCCTGCCCTTATAAAAAGTCCTTCCCCAGCTTTCCTGTAGGCCTCCTTCAGATACTGGGGAGCTGCTACAGGGTCCCTCTTTAGAATGAGCCTACTCTTTAGAATGAAGAGCATCAGGTCTCTCAGCTTTCCTTTAATACTCTCCCAGAAAAGCCACATGTTCAGACACCAGTTCAGGCTCTAGGTGCATTCTCTCACCAAGAGATGACTCTGTCTTGAGATGTTATGGCTCCCACACCAAAACCAGCAGCACAAATATGCATATGAAGTTCAGCCTCCAGCACTAATCCTGAAGCCTTGTACAAATCCATCTCTGCTGCATGTGCTGGGTTTGGTGAGGCAAAGATTTTTTGCTGTAGGAATGTAAGAGTTGGCTGGAAAAATAAGACTTCTAACATCTCAAAGCTGTAAACACTCTGAATAGGAAAGAGAGGAGAACAGTCTTTGGCTATAAAAGCAAACCTCTCACATTCCCCACTTCCTACCTGGCTCTGCCTGGTAGCAGCTGCACACTCCATGGTTTGCTCCAGCCATGACGTGCTTCTCTACCATCTTTTGCAGACAGGTGTCTGTTTGCCAGGACTCCTCCAAGCAGCTCAGCACCTCTGAGCAGCAGCTCCACATTGCTACTTCCCAAAAAGCAGTAAACAAATTCCTAGTCCCTGATGAATGGCAGGAAATGCCCTGAAGACAGATGCTGGCACTTGCTTTCTTAATGGAAATATGATTGCCATTTTCATACCTACTGTGACAGAGCAGTAAAACAGACTTGAAAACAGAAGCCATAGAAGAGCTCTTTTTCACCACATGGCTAAAACAAGTAAAAGGCAAAGCAATCACAAGCAAGGAATAGCAAAAGCAAACTAGGTTGGGGATAGCGGGTAGGCAGCACTCACCACAGCTCTGTTTGGCTATCAAACACAGATTTGTTCAGGGACTTCCAAATGAACAGGTTTTCAGAGAAACCACACAGATATAAGAACTGGGAAAAGTGCTTTATCCAGTCTGCCTCCCCACCACCTCCTCCACTCAGTCAACTTCAACTTTAGTCATCAGTGCCAAACGCTCCAGTCACTGAAGACTGTAGAAGATGGAAATCAAGAGACTTCCAAGCAGCTTCATGTCTAAAACAAACAACAGCTGGTCAGTTTATTCACAGAAGAATTAGGAGACATATATAGTGTGACAAAGGATACTTGAAACCTGTTTGAAGAAAGGGATTTAGGACATCTTACAGCTCGGCAGAAAACATTTCAAGCCTTTAACCATATGGTAAGAACTATCAGGTATCAGTGGTCTGATAACTCAAACTTCATTCCATGTACTGCATCTCACATCTACAAACAGTATTTCCAATTACTGTCCCTTTTAAACCTTTCACAGGAGAGAGATACAAAGAAGCATAGGCTGCTAAGGTTAGTTGAGTCCTAACATCTTTGAGAAAAGAGGAAGATTTGGTACACTCCTTAAGCAATGGAGATCTCCTTCCTTGAATGCAATTAATTTTGTGGCTGAGCAGGAGTCAGCATTCCTGTGATCCCAACACTTTCCTGGCTCACTTGATGCAAGGTGAAATCTCATTCTTACATCAGCATTAGATTTCAGTATTGCTGGCTTTCATGGAGCTGTACTCTGTTGCCTCAGCTGAATGATAAGTGGAGAACACCAGGAGGATGCACTCAGTCTACCTACAGAGAAGAGCTTTCAGTGCTGTGAAATATGGTTCTGCCAATTAGTGAACATTATGTCGGTATCCACAACCATGCTGGATATCATTTAAGAGAAATAAAGAAAAAAAGCAATCGTGCCTCTTGGCATTTGTTGGAAGAAGCATTTTCTGGAAGAAAAAGGACACCCAATTACACAGATCTCTTAAGTGCCCACACACAAAGGCAGGAGACTCCTACATCTAGAAATGAAACTATTTGCAAGAACCCTACAAATGCAAGATGAGTGCCTGGACACACTCACCACAAGCCATGTGAATAAAGAACAAAAATGACAGTGTCTTTAAGTATTTACTTTCTTATTTGAAAAGTACAGGTAAGCACAGGCATCTCACAAATATCTACCATCACCTGCTCGTTCAGGAAATGATACAGCTGAGAGGCAGAAAGTTCCACTCAAAAATGAACCACTCAGTTCATTTTTGCCCAGCTTACATCTTGACCCAAGTTATTTCAAAAAGTTTCTCAGAGAGATCAAACACAAGCTCAAAAAGATGGTGTATTTTTCATGCAGATACAACTTTTTCCACTGATCTACTTCCTTCTTATCATCACAGCGGCTAGTTATTTATTAATTTACAGCCTTTCAAAACTCAATTAAAGCAAGCATCTGAAATAAAACTTTATTCTTGTCTTTACTATTGTTTAACCTTGCAGACGGCTCAGCACCTTAGCATCACACAGTTGTTCGCTCACACTCACCTCTTCCCAGTGGATGGTGGAGAGAATTAAAAAAAAAAGCAAACAGAAAAACAACAAGTAGAACTCATGAGTTGAGATTAAATTGTCATAGAATCATAGAATCACCAAGGTTGGAAAAGACCTAAAAGATCATCCAGTCCAACCGTTCGCCTATTCCCAGTAGCTCCCACTAAACCATGTCCCTCAACACAACATCCAGCCTTTCCTTGAACACCCCCAGGTTCGGTGATTCCACCACCTCCCTGGGCAGTCCATTCCAGTGCCTGACCACCCTTTCTGAAAAGTAATACTTCCTGATGTCCAGCCTGAATCTCCCCTGCCGTAGCTTGAAACCATTCCCTCTGGTCCTATCACTAATGACACGAGAGAAGAGGCCGACCCCCAGCTCACTACAACCTCCCTTCAGGAAGTTATAGAGA